TTTACACCATTCGTCGTACGTTGTTTTCTTTTAAATAGATAGAGAAAAAGAGGAATAATGGATTTGTTTTGTGGAAAGCGACAAACGATTTTGAGAGAAAAAAAAGGTCACTAAACTCTCCTTTTCTCTTTTTGTTCGGTGTTTTCGATGCATTCGAAGTGCATTTGAAATGTGTGCATATATGTGTGCGCGTACGCTCGTATACAATGTGTTTTTTTTGCTTCTCTTGTTTAAGTAATTTTAAGGCTCGATGAATGTACACAATTGGCGTTTTTGTGTGCGTGCACTGCACACAGCCGTTGAAGCATGTGCTTGTTATTAGCTTCACCCAAATACGAGCGCATTCAATAAATAGAATTGGTTTTTAACATTAAAAAACAGAACACACAAACACATTTGTGTTGCCGATCGATTTCGGGACTCCGATTCCTGCGCTGCTGTCGTCGATGCATACATACAGCATAAATGTGTGATCGACATGCATACTGATATGTGTGTATTACTTTTGTCAATAAAATTGAACGTTACGATAAATACATTTTGGGTTCTCTCTTGTGTTATGTGTTGAGCGAGTTTATTTTTGATATTCAAGAGTGCGTGACGTGAATATGGATCTTATAGCCAGCGAACAATGTCGAACAGTGGGGAAAATGTAAGCGCAATAGCTGTAGGTCTGGATGCAATTCCTGTTGGTTGCATATATGCAGCACATATGACCGAAGTCAATGTTTCGATGTAAATAAAGTAACAACCAAAAATTGTGTCTGCTTTTATTTTGAATTGATAGATAGAAAAACAAAATAACGGAAATAGAATAAATAATCAGCCGGAATCGTTGATTACCAAAAATGACTTTTTACGATTTCTACATCCACAAATAGAATCGTTGTTTGAAATCGAAAATGAAGAAAATACAAAAATTAAGAACAACTATCTAAACACATATATAAATATATATTTTACACCGACAAGCGGTATTATATTTTAATCGACATAAACCATATGCATGCAATGGTGTTTATACACTACGACCATCGTTACCTTCAAAACATGAATTGGATCTTTTCTCTTTATTCGTTTGATTTTAAATCTAAAAATCATTTATGGAAAGAAAAAGATTCAAAAGCGCTCTGTACTCAAATAATTCTTTCGATAATTCAATTCTATCAAGTGTTACGTGCGCTTTTTCAAGATTCTTAACATTTAAACGAGAGAGGAGTATGAAATAAAGAAAAAAAATCGCAAAATATTTCTCATGATCGATGTTCGATGATCCTGTTTTAATGTTTTCATTGACCAAAATGTATCTGATGCAAACTTCCTGCGGAATTTTATTCTCGATTTCTAGTCAATGAACTGTTGGGTGCATTACCATTTTTTTTTTATTCTTGACAAAGTTTCATTTTGTTCCTGTTATTATTGTTGGAGGTAAGTCACTTTACTTCCTTATGTTGGGCGTGTATTGCATACGACATTTACTTTATGCAGTAAACCTACTCGCGTCTAGGGATCAAGGTAACCGTAGTTTAAATGTAGTACTAAACTGATTACACACACATACCAGCTCGAACATTGAAATGGCGATTAACGACCAGTCTAAATGGTGATGATGACGAAGAAGAATTTCTTGAAAATGTCGATGAACAAGATTGCCTTCGAGCACTGACTCAACACACACCAAAATTAGAATACAATGCAACAGAGCAGACGCATACACAATGCATCAATATCTCGGACACCGACATATATATATGTATCGTACGTATCGTAATTACGATCATAAACATAAACGCAATATTCCAACGTAAAATGCGTTTCTGACTTTGCCGTTTCATTTTGTTGTTTTTGTTGCCTTGAAAGCATTATTGTCGTATTCTTTAAACGGACACTGTGAGACAAAAATAAAAATTAGTCACAGACATACAACCAAGAGAGAAAGAGAGCTATGATAACAAAAGAGGCACTTCGAAGTGCGAGTCACCGCGCGCGCATTAAATAAATGTGAGAGCGTGAAAGAGAGAGAGAGAGAGAGAAAGACATAAAAACAAGCGATAAGACGAAACACACAGAGCAAACGGCACAGTATTAACCCAAGTGCACAAGGTCAGAAATGGAAGTGGTTACGTACATGTGTGTCTCTCTCGTAATATATAGTGTCCGGGTATATTTGTAACATTTTCGGTATTATTTACGCTGCTCAATTTTATTTCTCTCTTTCATTCTTTCATCGTGTTTCTCTTTTCGTTTATTTTTTTGAATACATTTCCTTTTCATATTGGATTAAACTATCACGTCTATCTCTGTCTGTCTGTTTTTTTGAGCTCATTGGCACTATGCACCAGTTTGGTTTCTGGTTTTCTCTCTCTATCTCTCTTTCCCTATCAATGTATAGATGCTGATCGAATGCACAAACTTGACGGTCATGAAGTTCACAGTTTTTGTTGAGTTTATGTACAAAATTCATTTTCTCTTTCATTTGTTGTTCCTTCATCTTGTTGTATTTTCAATATATTTTGTATTGTGTATCTTCTTCAGTTGGTGAGTCAAATTTTTCAATTAGTTTCAATTATTCAATTCTCACAGTTTCGTGTGCATTTAACTCTAAGCAGCGACATTGACAGAGTGTGAGCAGTTTGTGCATTTCCCATGTCATGGAAAAACGATGGTTTCGAATTCGATACTTTTGCTTTCATTTCAAAACACTTCATCATTGACAGCCGCTTCTTTTCTTCTATTCTTTCGAATCGTTGAGATCATTATAGAACTACTTGATAATCGATTCATTTGCGTCGCTCAGACACAAAGCAAAGCATTTTTAAACGCAACGAAGGGCATATGAAAAAAAACTACAACTTACAAACTGTGTAATGAACAAATAAAAAATTTAAAGAGTTCGTCTCAAATTCCATCCTGCCGCCCCCATTTCGAGCGTTCCACTTTAAGAATCGAACAACAACAACGAAAAAAATTGTGTTCCGTTTTATTCTACAATTGAATGCATATGCATGTCTTAAAATATTTTGAAGGGTTTCTTTCTCTCAATTCAGCCATATGGTTGTGCACCCCTTTCTACATACTTGAGAATCATTTTGTCGAGCTAAAAAAAAAACCATTTCGTTGTTGAAACAAACAAAAAACAACGACATTGAGTTGAAAACCCGGATGACGACGATGACGAAAAAAGAACTGGGGCGATATCCAATTACCTTATGACACACAAAATTGAGAAAACCAGAATAGAGGATTTTATGTGATTGAGTCGAAGGATTTCAAATCATTCAATTTATGGATCGGTTACCGTTTTACGACTCCTCGTAAATAAAGTGAATACAATTCAAATATTCGTTCATTGATATGAAATGAAATTTCAACAACAACAACAAAATGGATTGGCATTGGGATTTAAACGTTTGTGACATCATCGTCATCATCGTCAAGCACCCACCGAACTCATTTGCAAGCGGTCAATGTGTGTATGTATTTCGAAAAAAGCAACACGTCGTGCGCATGTGTGCAATTTGTTTCTTTCAGCGGCGACTTCGAATTCATTTTGCAATGATGTTGGTTGTTCCGTAAACGTCAGAGCAGTAGCATTTAGTGGACATACAATGTTATAATAATATTCAACAACAACAAAAATGTATACCGATCGCATCTGAAAATTGGGCTATTTTAGTGATGCGCGACGCCGACTGAATTTATGATCAAGGATAAACAATATCAAAATACTTCCGCGTTCTGATCGCGACTGCTCGCCTTTTTTTTATTCGCTTCTTTTTGTTTGCATTTGTTCATTGCGCCTTGTGGAATGCTAATTTCCGTTTTGCAACAATTTTACGTGCAACATGCGTCCCAAATGCAAGATGCACAAAAAATTCATGAATTGAAACAAACAAGTACATACGGGAAAATGGCATGTTAAATTTCTGTATTTATGGAATGTGGAATTTATGGTGTTTGTTTTTGTGTGAATGCGTTGATGTGGTCCACATTCTTTTTTGTCTGTTCATTTCATTCGTTGTGTGATAATCCAACACAATGAAGTAATTTATTTAATTCGATTCGTTTTATATTTTATTCTTAATATTGACTCATTCTCTCTGTCTATCTTTTACACACAAACAGATGCCATATAACAAAGATGATACAATTTTTTTTTATTTCAACATGTATACGACGATCCGCATAGCGTTACGCGCACAGCAATCAATGTTGCGAACGATTTGTGCGAACACGTATTTTATTTTGCGCGCGTGTATGAATACGTATGTATACGCTGAATGAGAGAGTATTTATCACACGCCTTTACGCGCAATGGCATTGAGCGAGTTTGTTAAACTCTTTTTAACGCTTTGATTTTATCGGGATACTTATAGAAATAACATTGAAAATATAATATGTATATATTTCGTTTAATTTCGTTCAATTTGTGCGTGACTCTTACTTGGTGACATTATTTATTTCTCTTTCGATTCGAGAATTTCCATGTGTGTTTGTGAGAGAAGAGATTCCATCTTCGGTTGCCCGGTCTTATAATGTTGATATTTTTTTTTTCTAATGAGAGACTCTATTCTGATTAAGCACCACTGAGTAACATGTAATTTTTTTTGTTCATTTCATTGACGCTGCTGGCCACATTAGGCCTTGGTGATTATGGCCGAACTGATATGCTGAACTCAATTGATTTATCAGCGTCGTGCGCGACATTATGTGTGTAGAGTAAAAGTTTTTGTCAATGGACTTTCTCATCAAGCCGCCCTTGTTTACACAAATAAATAACGTTTTTTTTTTTTGCTCTGTTATGCTATCTCTTCCTTTCTCTATTTGATATTTGATGATCATGAACTCATTGCTGAATTATTGATATTTATAAGCGACATTTTTCCCTTTCATATTCATGTCAATTGTTATCCGCAACAATTGCGTGACATTTATTTGTAACGAACAATCGATCAATTTTTCATATATTGAAAATGGTGTAAAATAAAAGTAAAACATACCTTGCAGCCTTCACATGAATGTACGCCATAATGAAATCCGGATGCTTTATCTCCGCATACACGGCATAAAACAGTTGTTCCATCAAATTCTGGTTGAAGAGAAGAGAAAAAAGATGTTAAATTGAATTCCTGTATGTAAGCGAAATATATTGGCAAGTTATTTTGTAAATTGAACTGAAATAACAGAGAGGAATGAAACGTGTATCTCGTTTGTTTTTTTGGTCAGGAAAACTGATGATCACGGAAAGAATTCCAGTTTTAATTTTCGCTCTGTCTGGTTTTCGGTATTGGTCTAGCGTTCCACACTGAAATTCGATGACAGCGGAAATGAATGGACAAATATGTAAGGCAGTTTTAACAAAAGAAGAAAAAAATAATGTCAAAATAAACGGCGTTAAAAATACTTTGTGTCATAAGTTCAAAGTTGTTTCACATTCTGACCATTTAACATGCATATAATATTGGTTAAATAAAAAAAAAATCATACACAAGTGCTACCTTGAAACAGGTAAATGCCATTGTGTGAAACAACTGCAAAATCACAGGCCAAACTGCATGACCAAATATCATTTCAATAAACAGACGTTGTCCAAAATTGATTTAACTTCTGTTTTGCACTTTTTTGATACACCATTGTATCTTATGATAATAGCCATTCAATCCATGTATAAGTCTTGCGGTCATTCATCGATGATTTTTTTTTTTTCAAATGAAAAAATCGTTTGATTTCATATTGTTTGTATTTCTTTTGACTTTATTTTAAACGCTGCACAATATCAAAACAATATTGGTTTCTAGACACTATATGTATTTATTATCGTTTTGTTTCAATACAACCCAGTTTTGTGTTCTTTAGCGTTGTCATTTTGGATTGGCAATTTCTTGCCGTTTGAATACGCGTTTTCCATTGTTTCAGTAACAAGTTCGACGAAACAATATTCCAATGGCGGTATTTTGTTGTTATTGCTTTCTTACCGCACATACATATTCATTATCGTTGTAAACTTTAAAGTCGTTCAATGACCTTTTTCTTTCAATATATCGGACTACACAGAGTAGTATATCCGAATGATGTATTTTATTTAATTTTGTGAAAATCTAAATATTTGTGGCCATATAAAATCTATTTCACGATTAATTGCATTTGTTGTTGTCTTTATCATATCACCATCATCGGTTGCATTTATGGTAAACGGTGATTCGATATGAGCATTTCACATTTTTCGGTTCAGTTTACAGCAAACATGCCGAAACCTGAATAGTCAGTGGCCAATAGGTGTGTAAAATGTTTCGTTTTTTTGTTGGCAAAATTCAATGTCATATTATTTAAACCAACAAAAAAGATCAAGTTCAAACGGTTCATTTTACAACTGAACAATCCATTACAGTTTCATTTGATTTCATGATATAAGCAACAATGGTTACGGTTTCTTTTTACCAGTTTATTTTCGGTTTTCCAATGGGTGTATGGCCAAACCGAAAGACATTGAACATGAAAATTGAAAATCGATAACATGGTTTGGAATCACGAATTCGAATTGGCAGTATGTGTATTATTATGTTGTTGTTTTTTCTTCTCTTATTTATTTCATTTGAAATGCATTTGCAACAAATCGTTTAAAAATGCAATTGATAAATTCAAAACCTGAGAGACAGTGTTGCTATTGTTGCTTACTTTCTATACTGTTAAAATAAAAATCGTTTTATAAACTGCAATATAAAATGCGAAAACAAAAAACACACACACACACACCGATAGTATGTCATTAATTTACTTTGATTTCCATTTCAATTTCGTTGAAAACGAAAAGAAAGGTACAATTTCGTATCACTTTTACTCTTCCTTTGTTGCTGGAAATCAAAATGAACAAACGAATGAATGAAGAAGAAAAAAAAAGTTGAAAATTTCGCGGTTAATTGAGCATTGGGTCTATACAAAATGTGCTTGTATCGTATGCTCTGCTATCTGTGTGTTCCCATTTTCATGACTTGTTGCTGATAGTTTTTTTTTTCTTCTCTCACTCTCTCTCCGCCTTCTGCTCATTCTTCTTTCTCTTTGACCAAATTGCACGTTGAATGTCTTCCACATTCTATCTTTCTCTCTCGTGATCTCTTCTTTTTTTGAAATATCGTACGATATCGGGGCAATGAATGAAAATTTCATTAAATTTAACATATTATTATTCGCCAAACGATAAAACAATAGCATCGCGTAGTTCATTCAATGTTGCCATATGCAGACATAACAAATTCAATTGATATGCTAGCATATTGAAAATCTAACAGCATTATTAATCATCAAAGGTCAACAAGCCAAAAACGTTTTTGACGATGCAGTGGCAAGAAGTGAGCGATCGTTGTCATCATCATAATCATTTTAAAGGCTGATTTATAGGCGAATGTCAACGACCTAACGCAATATCAGCGAAGCGGCAACACAAGTTGGCACTGAACGATGAAAAAATAAAACCATTATGCATTAGATTTGGAATGGAATCCGAGGCCAGAGAAACGACACAGCAATAACGATAGATAAAAGGAGAGACACAGAGAGAAAACGTTTTACTTTTTGAAGTGCATGCATCTCATGAAACTTTCACTTAAACGCTGAAAAAATATATTTCATTTGAGACACACGGTTGAAAGAGAAAACGCAGCCGCCAACTTAAATAAAATTGATTTATTCTTCTCATTGCTTTGTGTGTGTGCGTGCGTTGCAGTGTTCGTGTGTTTGTTGGCGTATGTGTGTGGTGCAACACAAAATCATATCTCACAAAGTGAGCGTACGTCGCAATAATCAAACGCCAAAACACAAATCACGTGCAAATCGCTACTCTAATCCATAAAACATAAAGAATATTTCACTCTTTCTCTCACAAATTTATGTTTCGATGGCGTTCGCAGTGAGACACAACCAATAGATTTAATATCGGTTTGTGTTTGTTGCACTGGTTTTTGTACTTGAATAAATCTCGACAGTTTGAAAAAAACCCACCCAGTTTATTGATATTGAATTACGATTTGGTGCAATGCTCTCTCTTTCTCTGTCGTAGTAATAAATCAATGAAATTAAATGGGCGACAACAATGCATTCATTGTTAAGATTTCATCCAATGTTTTCAACAGGCTGATAATTATAACTTTTTCTAACAATTTCATTGGAATAACAAAAAGCGAAAGAGTCACTTTGCTTTTGTCATAATGCGAGTGTTGCAATTTTATATAGAAAATTGAAATAGCCCATGCAGACCAAAAAAGGACGGATTTTTTTTCTTTCATTTAATTGAGCATTGCAATACCGAATTATTTTACTTAAAACATTTATTTCATTTTTGATGTATTATTAAATTGATATGTAATTAAACAATTAATATAGTTAATCTTCGTCGATCGAAATGTGTTTTTGTTATAAGTATATTTTTCTAACAAAAATGAAAGTGTCTGTGAAAAAGTTGAGTCGAATTGTGAGCATTTTTGATCGAGAAATGGAATCGTGAATCAACGCCCTCGCAAGACCCCCTTTCACATTTAATGCACTTTCTTGAAGTGTTGTCGTATCATTGTGTGCTATCTAAGAGACAACAATTTTGTCTGGTAAGCGAATAAATGGAATTTGTTACCGATATTCAATTCTGGTTCGCCTTTAACCGAACTGGCAACAGTTGCATCCATAACAGGATATGTGTTTGTCACTGTTGTTGTTACTGTTGGTGATGATTTAATTGGTTGTGCCGGTGGTGGATAATCCTGTGGTATTGACTGTGTGGCCACTTTATATATAACACTAGTCTGTTGTGCTTGAAGGGGCGCTGGCCCAATTCGAATGACTGATTGATGCATTTTGTCAATTGTTTCTTCTTTTTTCTTCAAAAGATGTTTGAATAATAAGTCAAGTAAAATATATATAAATCCAATTTTACTGTGGAATTAAATTAAGGTTCAGTTATTTTCGCACACATTTGCAGTTCTTTTCTTCTCTGAACTCGTCAATTTGAATACACTTGATTATTTTAATAGTTTATAAGCACAGTTTTGTAAGATCCTTTCGACTTCGATAAAATATTGCACCAAAATTCACAAATAAATAAGTAAATATTTTTTTCAGTTTTCACTTGGTACGTTTTTTTTCTTCTTCTTTTTCAATCACTCATTCTTCGTTGTAAAAATTCTATGCTTCTGTTTGTTTTTTTTTTTGTTAAAGCACCCCTCACACTTAAAAAAATGTCACTGTGAAAAAAAAACAAAGCCAAAGTTCCAAATTGGTTTGTCATTCGATCGTAAAAAAAAACTACACACGGTCGGTCAAAAAGTTGATTGAACATGAGCAATATTTCAATGTGATCATTCACATTTGTTCACCTGTATGTATCTATATCTCGCTTGCTGCGTGCATCAATGTACAATAGTAAACATATCATTAACAGAAAAAACCAACCAACAACAAAAATACAAGCGGCAATAACAGAACGAAGGAGCGGCCAAGTGTGTTTTGTATATTGTAAAACGATGATTGTGTATTGTGCGTATCGCGTTGACACTGAACTTATACTGAATGAAATAAACTTTCAAGATCACTAGCGTTCAATAAACTTCGAGCGATAATGATAAAATTCGATACATATTTTTTTCCTTATTCTCTTTTTTCATTCAACTTCTTGGCTGTGTTCATTATTTTAAATTTCTTTTAATTTTATTTCCGCAAAAAAAAAATCATAAGTTTTTTTCATCATAATCTCACTTTGTCAGAAGAGACAAGTGAATTGTTTATTGAATGCACTTTTGAAATTCGATTTAATTTGGTTCTTGATGCTTTTCTTATTCAACATCAAACACTTTTCACATACACACCGATCACTCATAGAAAATGTTTTGATTTTGATCGCAAAAAATCCCAGTGCCGATCATGTAAAATTCACTCTTCAGTGCATGAAAGTTTGTTGATCCATATGTTGTTTTAAAATTGTGGTAAGAAAAAATCCAAAAACTTCACTTCTTCTTGATGCGTATCGATCGAATTCAAACTTCTTTTTCATAACCAAAAAGACAGATCGAATCAGTCATTCAATGTAAATACTTTGAGAGCGAATTC